AGCGGTGTAGTTGACTTGACCAATTGGCATACTGTTCCACTGGCCTATGCCAGTTAGTGTTTTCTCACGTGAAACTTGGGGGCTGATAATTCCTCTACAGGTGGTAGAGATGAATAAAATACGGCCGTGTTCAGTCCTTGATGCTAAGCAGTTTTGAGTGCAGGTTCATCGACCACTGGCAAGGCCGGAACGAATCTGAATTTCAGGGGCATATTCGGTGGCTCCACCATTTCCCTGGGTGACAGGTTGCAGTTTTTCTCTGATATCCTTCAGCCTCTGGAGCACGATGAAACGGTCGCTGAAAAGCTCGAAAGTTATACGGTCATAGGAGGAAAGGTTCTCTACACCCTGGTTCTAAGTTGCAGTTTCCCAGATCAGTGCTTTGTCTATGAGCAGTTTTCTGAACAGTGCCACCTTAAATTGTTCTGCAACTTTGACTTGTTTATAGAAATATAGAGATCACTGTAGAAGAATTCCTGTACACTGGCAGGTTCACTAAATATTTGTCCGCCGGCGATGGGCGGGAGGGTCAAGTGGTTGGTTGCTGCGATAGCGGTATAGGTCTTGTTGGTGTGGTGGAGAAGTGTGTGATTTTCATGCCGGGCATAGCAATCTGCTGTTGTTCTGACCGCGCACAAGTTATTTTTTTTCTTGAGCCGCTATCGTGAGAGACCGCGTGTAACCCCACAATGTCCCAGTGGCCTAATGGATAAGGCATTGGCCTCCTAAGCCAGGGATTGTGGGTTCGAGTCCCATCTGGGGTGTGTTGAAAGCAGAGTGGCGCAGCGGAAGCGTGCTGGGCCCATAACCCAGAGGTCGATGGATCGAAACCATCCTCTGCTAGCTCCAATGCTTTTCTACAATTGCAGTGTAAACAAAGGCTATCTATCTGTCTATTTCATGTTGCCACTCACACATTCCTACTGCCTCCATGCTGATGGCAAGTTATACTGTCAAGCAGCAGAGAAGTCAACATTTGCAGAGAATGCTACAGTGGTGTGAAAAAGTGTTTGCCCCCTTCCTCATTTCCTGTTCCTTTGCATGTTTGTCACACTTAAGTGTTTCGGAACATCAAACCAATTTAAACAATAGTCAAGAACAACACAAGTAAACACAAAATGCAATTTGTAAATGAAGGTGTTTATTATTAAAGGTGAAAAAATCCAAACCATCATGGCCCTGTGTGAAAAAGTGATTGCCCCTAAACCTAATAACTGGTTGGGGCCACCCTTAGCAGCAACAACTGCAACCAAGCGTTTGCGATAACGTGCAATGAGGCTTTTACAGCGTCCTGGAGGAATTTTGGCCCACTCATCTTTGCAGAATTGTCCTAATTCAGTTACATTAGAGGGTTTTCGAGCATGAACGGCCTTTTTAAGGTCATACCACAACATCTCAATAGGATTCAGGTCAGGACTTGGCTTTGGAGGCACACCCAAAGTCTTCATTTTGTTTTTCTTCAGCCATTCGGTGGTGGACTTGCTGGTGTGTTTAGGATCATTGTCCTGCTGCAGAACCCAAGTTCGTTTCAGCTCGAGTACACGAACAGATGGTCGGACATTCTCCTTCAGGATCTCTTGGTAGACAGCAGAATTCATAGTTCCCTTTTATCACGGCAAGTCTTCCAGGTCCTGAAGCAGCAAAACAGCCCCAGACCATCACACTACCACCACCATATTTTACTGTTGGTATAATGTTCTTTTTATGAAATGCAGTGTTCCTTCTACGCCAGATATACTTGGACACACACCTTCCAAAGAGTTCCACTTTTGTCTCATTGGTCCACAGAATGTTGTCCCAAAAGTCTTGGGGATCATCAAGATGTGTTGTGGAGAAAATGAGACGAGCTTTGATGTTCTTTTGCTCAGCAGTGGTTTTCTCCTTGGAACTCTGCCATGCAGGCCATTTTTGCCCAGTCTTTTCCTGATGGTGGAGGCATGAACGCTGACCTTAACTGAGGCAAGTGAGGCCTGCAGTTCTTTGGACGTTGTTGTGGGGTCTTTTGTGACCTCTTGGATGAGCGTCCGCTGCGCTTTTGGGGTAAATTTTGGCGGCCGGCCACTCCTGGGAAGGTTCACCACTGTTCCATGTCTTCGCCATTTGTGGATAATGGCTCTCACTGTGGTTCGCTGGATTCCCAAAGCTTTGGAAATGGCTTTATAACCCTTTCCAGACTGATAGATCTCAATTACTTTCTTTCTCAATTGTTCCTGAATTTCTTTGGGTCTCGGCATGATGTGTAGCTTTTAAGGATCTTCTGGTGGACCTTACTGTGTCAAGCAGCTCCTATTTAAGTGATGCCTTGATTGTGAACAGGTGTGGCAATAATCAGGCCTGGGTGTGGCTAGAGAAATTGAACTCAGGTGTGGACAACCCAGTTATAGTATGTTTTAACAAGGGGGGCAATCACTTTTTCACACAGGGCCATGATGGTTTGGATTTTTTTTCACCTTTAATAATAAACACCTTCATTTACAAATTGCATTTTGTGTTTACTTGTGTTGTCCTTGACTATTGTTTAAATTGGTTTGATGTTCCGAAACACTTAAGTGTGACAAACATGCAAAGGAACAGGAAAAGAGGAAGGGGGCAAACACTTTTTCACACCACTGTATATAACAAACAATCAAATCAAAAGCGTGAAGCGGAGAATCAGGTCAAATGTCCGGGGATGAATTGACTCTGCACTTTTGAAGTAAGAAGGCTTTTATTTAAATAAAACTGGCAACAAACAAACAAATCAAAAGCGTGAAGCAGATCTCAAGGTCAAGAGGGCAAGGATTGGTTGACTCTGCAGTTTTGATGTAAGTAGAGGTGGTTAACACAGCAGGGGTTTAGAGACATGATTTGTGACACTGAGCTTAGCAGCTCGAACTGAAAAGACTAGCTGAAAGAAGCGCGAAAGTTTGAGGAGACCCATTTTTGTAGGGACTCATCTAAGGTGGGTGTGGCCGGGTGTAGCCCGCTTCTTTGCAGTACTGGCTGTCCTTGGGCAGGATGCACTAGGCACTGAGAGACTCAGAATTGCTTGCTGCCACAATAAAAACAAAATTCAGCCCTACTCCTCCTTTCTTGTTCAAGAACGGTGTAGTTGACTTGACCAATTGGCATACTGTTCCACTGGCCTATGCCAGTTAGTGTTTTCTACGTGAAACTTGGGGGCTGATAATTCCTCTGCAGGTGGTAGAGATGAATGAGTATGGCCGTGTTCAGTCCTTGATGCTAAGCAGTTTTCAGTGCAGGTTCATCGACCCGCTGGCAGACGCAACGGATCTGAATTTCAGGGCATATTCGGTGGCTCCACCATTTCCCTGGGTGACGGGTTGCAGTTTTTCTTTGATATCCTTCAGCCTCTGGAGCACGATCAAATGGTCAGTGAAACAGCTCGAACAAACGGTCATAGGAGGAAAGGTTCTCTCCTCCCTGGTTCTAAGTTGCAGTAACCCAGATCAGTGCTTTGTCTATGAGCAGGTTTCTGAACAGTGCCACCTTAAACTGTTCTGCAACTTTGACTTGTTTATAGAAATATAGAGTTCACTGTAGAAGAATTCCTGTACACTGAGCAGGTTCACCTAAATATTTGTCCGGCCGAGCGATGGGCGGGAGGGTCAAGTGGTTGGTTGCTGCGATAATCTGTATAGGTCTTGTTGGTGTGGTGGAGAAGTGTGTGATTTTCATGCCGAGCATAGCAATCTGCTGTTGTTGTGACCGCACTAGATTTTCTTGAGCCGCTATCGTGAGAGACCCGCGTGTAACCCCACAATGTCCCAGTGGCCTAATGGATGAGGCATTGGCCTCCTAAGCCAGGGATTGAGGGTTCAAGTCCTATCTGGGGTGTATAGATAGCAGAGTGGCGCAGCGGAAGGGTGCTGGGCCCATAACCCAGAGGTCGATGGATCGAAACCATCCTCTGCTAGCTCCAATGCTTTTCTACAATTGCAGTGTAAACAAAGGCTATCTATCTGTCTATCTCATGTTGCCACTCACACATTCCTACTGCCTCCATGCTGATGGCAAGTTATACTGTCAAGCAGCAGAGAAGTCAACATTTGCAGAGAATGCTATATAACAAACAATCAAATCAAAAGCGTGAAGCGGAGAACCAGGTCAAATGTCCGGGGATGAGTTGACTCTGCACTTTTGAAGTAAGAAGGCTTTTATTTAAATAAAACTGGCAACAAACAAACAAATCAAAAGCGTGAAGCAGATCTCAAGGTCAAGAGGGCAAGGATTGGTTGACTCTGCAGTTTTGATGTAAGTAGAGGTGGTTAACACAGCAGGGGTTTAGAGACATGATTTGTGACACTGAGCTTAGCAGCTCGAACTGAAAAGACTAGCTGAAAAGGAAGCGAGAAAGTTTGAGGAGACCCATTTTTGTAGGGACTCATCTAAGGTGGGTGTGGCCGGAGTGTAGCCCGCTTCTTTGCGAGTACTGGCTGTCCTTGGGCAGGATGCACTAGGCACTGAGAGACTCAGAATTGCTTGCTGCCACAATAAAAACAAAATTCAGCCCTACTCCTCCTTTCTTGTGCAAGAACGGTGTAGTTGACTTGACCAATTGGCATACTGTTCCACTGGCCTATGCCAGTTAGTGTTTTCTACGTGAAACTTGGGGGATGATAATTCCTCTGCAGGAAAGGTGGAAAGGTGCTCTCCTCACTGGTTCCAAGTTGCAGTTTCCCAGATCAGTGCTTTGTCTATGTGCAGGTTTCTGAACAGTGCCACCTTAAATTGTTCTGCAACTTTCACTTGTTTATAGAAATATAGAGATCACTGTAGAAGAATTCCTGTACACAGAGCTGGTTCACCTAAATATTTGTCCGGCCGAGCGATGGGCGGGAGAGTCAAGTGGTTGGTTGCTGCGATAATCGGTATAGGTCTTGTTGGTGTGGTGGAGAAGTGGGTGATTTTCATGCCGAGTATAGCAATCTGCTGTTGTTGTGACCACACTAGATTTTCTTGAGCCGCTATCGTGAGAGACCCGCGTGTAGCCCCACACTGTCCCAGTGGCCTAATGGATAAGGCATTGGCCTCCTAAGCCAGGGATTGTGGATTTGAGTCCCGTCCCGGGGTGTGTCGTAGCAGAGTGGCGCGGCGAGAAGCGTGCTGGGCCCATAACCCAGAGGTCGATGGATCGAAACCATCCTCTGCTAGCTCCAATGCTTTTAGCAATTGCAGTGTAAACAAAGGCGCGCTATCTGTCTATCTCATGTTGCCACTCAAACATTCCTACTGCCTCCATGCTGATGGCAAAGTATACTGTCAAGCAGCAGAGAAGTCAATATTTGCAGAGAATGCTATATAACAAACAATCAAATCAAAAAGCGTGAAGCGGAGAACCAGGTCAAATGTCCGGGGATGAGTTGACTCTGCACTTTTGAAGTAAGAAGGCTTTTATTTAAATAAAACTGGCAACAAACAAACAAATCAAAAGCGTGAAGCAGATCTCAAGGTCAAGAGGGCAAGGATTGGTTGACTCTGCAGTTTTGATGTAAGTAGAGGTGGTTAACACAGCAGGGGTTTAGAGACATGATTTGTGACACTGAGCTTAGCAGCTCGAACTGAAAAGACTAGCTGAAAAGGAAGCGAGAAAGTTTGAGGAGACCCATTTTTGTAGGGACTCATCTAAGGTGGGTGTGGCCGGAGTGTAGCCCGCTTCTTTGCGAGTACTGGCTGTCCTTGGGCAGGATGCACTAGGCACTGAGAGACTCAGAATTGCTTGCTGCCACAATAAAAACAAAATTCAGCCCTACTCCTCCTTTCTTGTTCAAGAACGGTGTAGTTGACTTGACCAATTGGCATACTGTTCCACTGGCCTATGCCAGTTAGTGTTTTCTACGTGAAACTTGGGGGCTGATAATTCCTCTGCAGGTGGTAGAGATGAATGAGTATGGCCGTGTTCAGTCCTTGATGCTAAGCAGTTTTGAGTGCAGGTTCATCGACCCTCTGGCAGACGCAACGGATCTGAATTTCAGGGCATATTCGGTGGCTCCACCATTTCCCTGGGTGACGGGTTGCAGTTTTTCTTTGATATCCTTCAGCCTCTGGAGCACGATCAAATGGTCAGTGAAACAGCTCGAACAAACGGTCATAGGAGGAAAGGTTCTCTCCTCCCTGGTTCTAAGTTGCAGTAACCCAGATCAGTGCTTTGTCTATGAGCAGGTTTCTGAACAGTGCCACCTTAAATTGTTCTGCAACTTTGACTTGTTTATAGAAATATAGAGTTCACTGTAGAAGAATTCCTGTACACTGAGCAGGTTCACCTAAATATTTGTCCGGCCGAGCGATGGGCGGGAGGGTCAAGTGGTTGGTTGCTGCGATAATCTGTATAGGTCTTGTTGGTGTGGTGGAGAAGTGTGTGATTTTCATGCCGAGCATAGCAATCTGCTGTTGTTGTGACCACACTAGATTTTCTTGAGCCGCTATCGTGAGAGACCCGCGTGTAGCCCCACACTGTCCCAGTGGCCTAATGGATAAGGCATTGGCCTCCTAAGCCAGGGATTGTGGGTTTGAGTCCCGTCCGGGGTGTGTCGCAGCAGAGTGGCCCAGCGGAAGCGTGCTGGGCCCATAACCCAGAGGTCGATGGATCGAAACCATCCTCTGCTAGCTCCAATGCTTTTTACAATTGCAGTGTAAACAAAGGCTAGCTATCTGTCTATCTCATGTTGCCACTCAAACATTCCTACTGCCTCCATGCTGATGGCAAAGTATACTGTCAAGCAGCAGAGAAGTCAATATTTGCAGAGAATGCTATATAACAAACAATCAAATCAAAAGCGTGAAGCGGAGAACCAGGTCAAATGTCCGGGGATGAGTTGACTCTGCACTTTTGAAGTAAGAAGGCTTTTATTTAAATAAAACTGGCAACAAACAAACAAATCAAAAGCGTGAAGCAGATCTCAAGGTCAAGAGGGCAAGGATTGGTTGACTCTGCAGTTTTGATGTAAGTAGAGGTGGTTAACACAGCAGGGGTTTAGAGACAAAGGAAAAGGAAAGGTGCTCTCCTCACTGGTTCCAAGTTGCAGTTTCCCAGATCAGTGCTTTGTCTATGTGCAGGTTTCTGAACAGTGCCACCTTAAATTGTTCTGCAACTTTCACTTGTTTATAGAAATATAGAGATCACTGTAGAAGAATTCCTGTACACAGAGCTGGTTCACCTAAATATTTGTCCGGCCGAGCGATGGGCGGGAGAGTCAAGTGGTTGGTTGCTGCGATAATCGGTATAGGTCTTGTTGGTGTGGTGGAGAAGTGGGTGATTTTCATGCCGAGTATAGCAATCTGCTGTTGTTGTGACCACACTAGATTTTCTTGAGCCGCTATCGTGAGAGACCCGCGTGTAGCCCCACACTGTCCCAGTGGCCTAATGGATAAGGCATTGGCCTCCTAAGCCAGGGATTGTGGGTTTGAGTCCCATCCGGGGTGTGTCGCAGCAGAGTGGCGCAGCGGAAGCGTGCTGGGCCCATAACCCAGAGGTCGATGGATCGAAACCATCCTCTGCTAGCTCCAATGCTTTTTACAATTGCAGTGTAAACAAAGGCTAGCTATCTGTCTATCTCATGTTGCCACTCAAACATTCCTACTGCCTCCATGCTGATGGCAAAGTATACTGTCAAGCAGCAGAGAAGTCAATATTTGCAGAGAATGCTATATAACAAACAATCAAATCAAAAGCGTGAAGCGGAGAACCAGGTCAAATGTCCGGGGATGAGTTGACTCTGCACTTTTGAAGTAAGAAGGCTTTTATTTAAATAAAACTGGCAACAAACAAACAAATCAAAAGCGTGAAGCAGATCTCAAGGTCAAGAGGGCAAGGATTGGTTGACTCTGCAGTTTTGATGTAAGTAGAGGTGGTTAACACAGCAGGGGTTTAGAGACATGATTTGTGACACTGAGCTTAGCAGCTCGAACTGAAAAGACTAGCTGAAAAGGAAGCGAGAAAGTTTGAGGAGACCCATTTTTGTAGGGACTCATCTAAGGTGGGTGTGGCCGGAGTGTAGCCCGCTTCTTTGCGAGTACTGGCTGTCCTTGGGCAGGATGCACTAGGCACTGAGAGACTCAGAATTGCTTGCTGCCACAATAAAAACAAAATTCAGCCCTACTCCTCCTTTCTTGTTCAAGAACGGTGTAGTTGACTTGACCAATTGGCATACTGTTCCACTGGCCTATGCCAGTTAGTGTTTTCTACGTGAAACTTGGGGGATGATAATTCCTCTGCAGGTGGTAGAGATGAATGAGTATGGCCGTGTTCAGTCCTTGATGCTAAGCAGTTTTCAGTGCAGGTTCATCGACCCGCTGGCAGACGCAACGGATCTGAATTTCAGGGCATATTCGGTGGCTCCACCATTTCCCTGGGTGACAGGTTGCAGTTTTTCTCTGATATCCTTCAGCCTCTGGAGCACGATCAAATGGTCGGTGAAACAGCTCGAACAAACGGTCATAGGAGGAAAGGTTCTCTCCTCCCTGGTTCTAAGTTGCAGTTTCCCAGATCAGTGCTTTGTCTATGAGCAGGTTTCTGAACAGTGCCACCTTAAATTGTTCTGCAACTTTGACTTGTTTATAGAAATATAGAGTTCACTGTAGAAGAATTCCTGTACACTGAGCAGGTTCACCTAAATATTTGTCCGGCCGAGCGATGGGCGGGAGAGTCAAGTGGTTGGTTGCTGCGATAATCGGTATAGGTCTTATTGGTGTGGTGGAGAAGTGTGTGATTTTCATGCCGAGTATAGCAATCTGCTGTTGTTGTGACCGCACTAGATTTTCTTGAGCCGCTATCGTGGGAGCCCCACACTGTCCCAATGGCCTAATGGATAAGGCATTGGCCTCCTAAGCCAGGGATTGTGGGTTTGAGTCCCATCCGGGGTGTGTCGAAAGCAGAGTGGCGCAGCGGAAGCGTGCTGGGCTCAGAACCCAGAGGTCGATGGATCGAAACCATCCTCTGCTATCTCCAATGCTTTTTACAATTGCAGTGTAAACAAAGGCTAGCTATCTGTCTATCTCATGTTGCCACTCAAACATTCCTACTGCCTCCATGCTGATGGCAAAGTATACTGTCAAGCAGCAGAGAAGTCAACATTTGCAGAGAATGCTATATAACAAACAATCAAATCAAAAGCGTGAAGCGGAGAACCAGGTCAAATGTCCGGGGATGAGTTGACTCTGCACTTTTGAAGTAAGAAGGCTTTTATTTAAATAAAACTGGCAACAAACAAACAAATCAAAAGCGTGAAGCAGATCTCAAGGTCAAGAGGGCAAGGATTGGTTGACTCTGCAGTTTTGATGTAAGTAGAGGTGGTTAACACAGCAGGGGTTTAGAGACATGATTTGTGACACTGAGCTTAGCAGCTCGAACTGAAAAGACTAGCTGAAAAGGAAGCGAGAAAGTTTGAGGAGACCCATTTTTGTAGGGACTCATCTAAGGTGGGTGTGGCCGGAGTGTAGCCCGCTTCTTTGCGAGTACTGGCTGTCCTTGGGCAGGATGCACTAGGCACTGAGAGACTCAGAATTGCTTGCTGCCACAATAAAAACAAAATTCAGCCCTACTCCTCCTTTCTTGTTCAAGAACGGTGTAGTTGACTTGACCAATTGGCATACTGTTCCACTGGCCTATGCCAGTTAGTGTTTTCTACGTGAAACTTGGGGGCTGATAATTCCTCTGCAGGAAAGGTGGAAAGGTGCTCTCCTCACTGGTTCCAAGTTGCAGTTTCCCAGATCAGTGCTTTGTCTATGTGCAGGTTTCTGAACAGTGCCACCTTAAATTGTTCTGCAACTTTCACTTGTTTATAGAAATATAGAGATCACTGTAGAAGAATTCCTGTACACAGAGCTGGTTCACCTAAATATTTGTCCGGCCGAGCGATGGGCGGGAGAGTCAAGTGGTTGGTTGCTGCGATAATCGGTATAGGTCTTGTTGGTGTGGTGGAGAAGTGGGTGATTTTCATGCCGAGTATAGCAATCTGCTGTTGTTGTGACCACACTAGATTTTCTTGAGCCGCTATCGTGAGAGACCCGCGTGTAGCCCCACACTGTCCCAGTGGCCTAATGGATAAGGCATTGGCCTCCTAAGCCAGGGATTGT